CCGCCGGTAAGCTGTCCGACTATGATCGTCGAGGATTTTCGACGGCTTTGCGATTTGGACCGATATTGCGTATGTAGCCCATATCGATACCAGACCTCCGCGGTTATTATTGCCCAAAAAATCAAGAGCTTCGCAAAAGACGGTGAAGTGCGTTACAAGTCAACGAACGCCGTACAGTTGGAAGTCATGCTTGATGAAACCGACTTATCCGTGATGATGCCCTTGATAACACCCTAGATATGTTTCGCTGGATCTTCGGAGATCTTGCCGTGCCCTACGGAGTACTTGGCCCCAGCTTGCGGCATGGTATAGTTCAACCCGAACGTACATAGTGTCGGCGTCGATCCGTGCTTAATTTCATATGAGATCATATTCCAGCTTTTACCACATTCCTCGCGATGCCCTTGATGTTTCCTTCATTCCAAAGTGAGCAAGATATTGCATCACATCGGAATAATATGCCTCAACACTTCCCGACCGAGCCCAATAGCAAGGGGGCGGGTTCGGCATCCATAGCACAGTCTCTGCCAGCCACGACGCCCGAATCGTACACTCCCGCCCCCCGAAGATCGCCACAGCACCGTATGACTAAAGGGGCTTGTCGGGCCATAGATCTGACTACCACGAACATGTCCTAGTTTGAGAGATACGACGTCCCTAAGGATACACCTCGGTTTCGGATAGATCAGGAGATTGTGATAATTTTTTTTATTATTTTTCAGACAGCGCTAACCATCCCAAACCAGACACAAGGGTGCATGATCCACATAGAACCGCAGCTGCCGCACCATATTGTCGGGTTCTGACAGTCGCCGGAATGGCTGAAGTGTGGCGCCTCAACAATCGAACGACGAAAATAATTCCAGTCGGCAATCGGAAAATGCTTCCTGGCATATAGAAAAGCTTCTTTTTGCGACCTGTCTCAATTCTAAATTGGGCAGAGAGCTCGGGCAAAATTGCCACAGAGACTGAGGTGGTTAGATTTTTCGGTGCGGCCTCCCTTCCTGTGATGGTTGACGGGAAGTAAATTCAATGTGATGTATCAACTTTATTGGGCAGTCCCGAGGGCCGAACGTCCCCGTCACTCAAAAATCCATCGAAATCAATGGGAACAAGGAAAAACGCTCCTTCGGGGTCCGCATTGTAATTTGCAGAGGATGCTTCGGGAGCGGTCCCCATCTAAGTGCCCTGGAACGGGACGTCATAGAGGGTGAGAATCCCGTATGGGATGGGGTGTCCGCGCCCGTGTG